GAAAAAAAAGAAATTCAGAGTTGAATTTAACTGTTTATATCAGTTTAATTATGAAGATAACAGAGAATAAAGCATCTGAAACATTCACAGATATATAAAACCAAGTTATCTCAATCTCTGAGAATGCTCAGAGATTGAGTGAGATTAGTTTTAATGAGTTATTCACTGTAGTGATCTGAGTGAGTGAAGAGAGATAGTATAATATGTGAGACAGAATTATAAAAGATGAAAGCTGCTAAATCTAGTCACTGAATACTGTATTATATAGAGATTGTGTAAGAGTAGTGACTAGCAGATAAAGAAAAAGTGTAAGAAAAGAGAAATGAATTGATTATCAACTATAAGAGTTAGCTGTAAAAGACAAATGTTATTATATATATCTCATTCATTTTTATACATTATATATTTAATCTATTTCCAACATCACATCATCTGAAAAACATCAAAAACAAAGAAAATCTCAAAGCTCAAGATCTGTAAGAAATTCAAGAGCTGCAAGCTGCTCTTATAATAATACTGTGTATATCTTCAATTTCTCTACTGCTCTGTGTACAACATTCATATTATTTATCACAAGATTGACTGAAATGCCAATATAGAAATGTGTATGTTTATATGTAGAAAAATTGAAGAAGAGTGCAGAACTCACAGAATCAGAAGTCAGAACAGAAGAGATAGAGATAGAAGAAACAGAAGAAGAAGAAGACACAGAACTGAATAAACAATAACAGAAGTCAACTGAGACTGAACACTTATAACTCAGTATGTGTACAATCTTTTTCACAGAGAAGAAAGAGAAAGCACTGAGAGAAGCTTAAGAGCAGAAGAGAATAGTCTCAGTGACATACTTATCTTTAATTAGAATGATCTCAGACATCAGAGTAACTAAGAACTATTATTAGCATATGAAACTGTAAAAAGCAGAGATAATAATTACTGAATGAATATCTACTGATCTTAGAATTATACATATAATTACAACATACATAAGACTTCTCAGAAAGAGAGAGAGAGACACAGAGAAATGCAGGAAGCAGAACATAGCATGCAAAAAGCTCATTTTCACAATGATATTTCAGACAAGATGTACAAGTCTCATATTCACAGATATAAAAAAGTATGACATCTGTATTCTAATTTCTGAAAACACAGATATCTTTTGCCTGCATCACAAAGTTAGATGACAGATATCAGAGAATAGACTGATACAGATCTATCATCTTGAAGAAATTTATCAGAGTAAATGTACCTGCAATATTGAATTTAATAATTGTGAAAAGTTTCTTAATATCTGTGAATGTTATGACTTCATACACAGTAAAACTTATAACAATTTTCTCTAAGAACAGAAAAATCAGTGTCAGAAAGAAAAGATGAAAAAGAAAAAGACTTACAATTTTAACACTGTTAAGAGAGAAAGTGATTCTCTGATATAAATGAATAATTATCTCATCATGAATATTTAAAACAAATATAATAATCAGTGTCTGTGACTGAGCTTCAGATAGTCATATCATACACAGTCTTTATACAATAAATCATTCTAGAAGTTGATAAGAAAGACAGAAGTATATGCACTGATGAATATAATTTATTAAGTCTATACAACATCTTCTTAAAATGAAGAGAGCTGATAATGAAAGCAGAGACAGTAAAATCAGAGAGAGCAGAAGTAGCAGAAGTGAGAGTCACAGAAACAGAGATAGCAGAAGTGAGAGAATCAGACATAGAAGCAGATGTAGAAGATTAAGAGAGAGCAGCAGAGAAAGAAACAGTAATAAAAGAGACAGAGAGAGATATAGAAGACTCAGTCACATATAATACAGATAATTTCTTCATTATCACATTCTTTAAGTTCTCAATCAATAATTTAATATTGAGTTCACTATTATCAGTGAATGCAGATCTGTCAATATATGAAGATTCTATATAAATAAAAATAAATATCAGTATCTGCATCTATGCAAAATTGTGTCAGAAAACATAATCAGAAGCTACTGAGAAGAAAAATAGTTGAGAATGTATAAAAAGATAAAGAAGATATATTATTCATGATAATATATTCTGATAATTATTAGAAGATAAACAAGTTCAGTCACATTTCATAATGTGTTATACTTACTGTTAATAAACTGCTCAGTATGAGTACTATAATGACACTTACTATGAGAATAAGAGATTATTATCAGAAATGTGTATAATGTAATAGATAAACAGATAAAAGAGATTGAATAGAAGAAGAGACAGTAATCTTGAATAAGATGATAATATTTGATAATGACAATAATGAAGAAGATGATTGAAGAATGAGAAAAGTTAGTGAATAAGTAATATAATATAGTGAAAGTTTCTTTGTGAGAGTGTATATGAAACACTAGCTGAATCAGAGATAGATCACATAATCATGAACACTAGTAACATGCTAATTCACATAAAACTAGAATAAATGTCATGATTACATAAGCATGACCAAATCTGATGAAGAAGAATGTGATTTGAAAGAATGTACAACTGTCAGATAATAACACAGTCACTTCTGAACTTGCTTACAAATGTAAAGAGGTCATAGCGGCCACTAATTAATTTAGCATATAATATATAAGAAGCCGGCGTACGCCTGTAATCGTATACTGAGGCAGAAACCTTTGAATTGCAAATATAATAATTCTATCTAAGAGAGATGACAAGTGAGATAAATTGAATTCTTTATAATATTTCAGTTGAAATTTTTGACTGTGAAGAAGAAATACTACTTCTCAAAAATCAATTAGAAGAATACAATTCTATTCAACTGAGAAAAGAGTCTGTATGACTAAATTCAATTCAGTTCAGATAAAGCAGAAGAAATGTCTCTGTTCTAGTATATATAAAAACACTTTAATAATCAAAAATCTCTGAAGTAAGAGTGACAGATTTGAAAATAAGAGTTCATGAATACAAAGACTCAAGAATGAATCTCAAAGCTCAAATACAGTGTTTAAACTGTCAAAGATATGAACACTTTGTAATCTATTATTTCAGAGACTCAAAATACATATTCTGTACTAGAGATCACAAAGCTAGTGAGTATAAAAATGAAACATGCTTAAAAAGAGATGAAATATATTAATATACTCTGCTTAAATACTCTAATTGTAAAGAAAAACATGCATCTAGCTTAAAAGAATGCATATTTACTTCAAGAACTGAAAAGAACTGAAGAAAAGATGAAGCTTAAAGTCAATCTAAAACTGAAGAGAATAGTCAAGCCAGTAAACCTGTAACTGTAAGCTTAAAAAGAAGAAACTCTTAACTATCTAAATCTTTAAACTTCAATTCTTCAGCTAAATATAAATAGAATTTGAATTGTTAAATATCTGTTAAGATTAGAGAATTGAGAAATGACTCTAATAATAAACTAGATAGAATGCAAGCAGTTGAGATTCCTGCTTTTTAAAATAGTTATAATCTACTATCTGATAATAGTGATTAGATTCTACTCTATCTCTACTCTCTTTTAGTATGAATATACAATAAATACAATAAAAAAAGTTTAAAAACTTTTCAAAAATCATATTTATTCAAAACAATGTGAATAGAAACTCAAATTGTATTTATTCTTATCTTGAAATTGTATTTGAATAAAAAGTTGATTTTATACTTCTTCAGAAACCAAATTTTGATGCTGAGCAAAAGTATATTATTTCTTATTTAAGCTACTACTAACTGTGTCATGCTTACTCACTCTCTGTAGTGAGTGCGCTATAGCGTACGGAAAACCACATCATAAAGAAAATATTTTGAATATAGTAATCTTCAAAAATTAATTAATAATCATCATCACATCTATCTATAGACTGGCTGACAGAACTATGAATTTCACATTTGATTTCATTTGATCTGGTCTCATACTTATTATTATTATTATTATTATTATTATTCTTTCATTATACTCATATGCAAGCGGAGCTTATGATGAGTCCTTGCGTGATGTTAAATACAGGCCAAGTGTTGGTTATACAGGAGGAAATACAGGTGTTGAGACCACGCCAAGATAACAAGAACATAGGAAATACAAAGAAGTGACAATTAGATACATGCGATAATAACTTCCCAGCCCAGGAACATAGAGCGATTTATTGGAGCGATTTGTACACCTCTGTATTTATTAGGAACCTGAGGTGCTTGAGTTCCGGATTTAATGTATCCCCTGCGGGTTTCGAACCCACACGCCTTGGTTTCCCACGCCAAGGCGCTACCAGGTGGCCGCATTAACCATTCGGCCACCGGGGCTCTGGTCTCATACATTTCTTAGCGGGAATCCAGCTGGGACTACCTATCAAAAAAACATGCAAAGTGACTATATATCAGATCTTAAAATGAAACCATGACTTGAAAAAAATGAGAAAGTGGTTTCATTTGGTCTCATTTAGTCCTATTCTTGATATAAAGTTACTATTTTTAGACATTTTAAGGTTTTTTTTTAGACTATTTTTAATTTTTTAAAAAGTAATGCTTTTTGATAACACTTAAATAAAATTTAAAGTCATTTAAAGCAATAAAAATAATTTAAATTGAGAAGTGGAAATCATGATCTCATTTGAAAAATGTGACAAGAGTAGACAGTAAGTCTCACTGAAACAGTATGAAACTACTATCTAATGTTAAAACCGTGTAATGGGATCAGTCGAATTGATAATGAGACTATTAAAAAATCTGGTCCTGGTCCCAGACACGGTCACACGGTTAGTCTATCTATCTATAACATAAAGATTATCTATATACTCATTAGAAGATGTAGAATTCACTGTAAGTTGAGATTCTATAGAATTATCTTATTGTGATTGAGTGGCTGTAGATTTTGTAGATTTGATTTTAATTGATTGAAGAGTCTTATTGAATGTCTTTTTCATCTCATCTGCTCTACAGATCACAATCTTGCAATTGACATTCTTAATAGTGAGAACTTCACCTACTTGCACCTGCCTGCAGAAGGATTTGACAACTTAATATCTATTTACTTAATAATGATCTGCAAGTTCATTCTCATAGTACACGTTCAATTCTGCCTGAACCATGCTATTCTTGAAGATCTTGTTCAACCGCCTTGTCAAACCAGGTGTAAGGGTATTCTTCACATCTTCTAAGGCCTTGACTGCTGCATTGATTTGATGATATAGTTTTGCAACCATCTCTGAGAAGGTTGATTGTAAGAAGACAGTTGACAGTTGATCTGCAGATGATGAGGTAAAGTGATTAGACTGACCGTGTGACCGTGTCTGAGACCAGGACCAGATTTTTTGATAGTCTTATTACCAATTCGACTGATCCCATTACACAGTTTTAACATTAGATAGTAGTCTCATACTGTCTCAGTGAGACTTACTGTCTACTCTTGTCACATTTTTCAAATAAGACCATGATTTTCACTTTTATTACATCTATTATTCTAACAAGTGTTAGAGATAATATTTCAAAAAGAAAATCTTCTGAGTATTCAAAATCTTGGTGGAATGAGAATATCTCATCTAAAAGGAAAGAATTAGCTACTGCTAGAAGAGATTGGAAAAATGATGTAATATCTGATGAAGAGTTCAAAGCTGTCAGAAATGAATATTTTTCAGATATCAAAAGAGCTAAAACAGACTGCTGGAATAAATTTCTTGAAGAAGCACAAGGAAAGGAAATTTTTAAAGCTTTTAACTATACTAAAACAAGAAGTGTAGCAAAACTTCCAGCCTTAGAATATGAGTTTCAGAATGAATCATATACAGCAAACTCTTTTGAGGAAAAATGTCAACCTTTCATGAGAATTCTCTTTCAGAACTCATCAGACTCAGATTCAGATTCAGAGAAAGAGAATATATCACTTCTCAACTACATTGATGAAAATGACTGAGAATGGCCTGATCTTACACAAGATGAATTAGAGTCAGCTATCTTCTCAAGTTCTGTTAAAACTGCTGCAGGTCCTGATTCAATTAATCACTTGATTATTCAAAATACATATTCCTACTTAAAGAATGAATATTTTGAGCTCTTTTTCAATCTCTTGAAAAATGAATATCATTCTGAATGCTGGAGAGAAGCCACTGGAGTGATTCTTGCAAAACCTAATAGAAAAACTTCAATTCCTAAGTCATATAGAGTAATATCTCTATTGAACTGTTTAGGAAAGGTTTTAGAAAAGATAATAGCTACTCGACTATCTTTTATAAGCTCTATAGATGATTCTCTTTTATTCAGTGAACAAATGAGAGATAGAAAACAGTGTTCTGCAATTGACACTGTTCTCTCAGTTGTTCATGATATTCAAATAGCAAAGCATGAGGGTCTGGTCTCAACTGCAGTTTTTATTGATATAAAGGGAGCATTTGATCATGTTTCAAAGTCAAAGTTAATTCAGACATTGAAGATATTAAAACTGCCACTTTCTCTAATAAAATGAGTTAACTGTTTTATGTCTAAAAGAATTATACAACTCTTCTTTGATGAAATGAAACAAGACAAGACTGAGATAAAAATAGGAGTATCACAGAGATCTCCAATCTCACTCATTTTATTTGCAATATACACTGCATATCTATTCAAAAATAGAAATATGAGAATAGTGCGATCTCTGAGTTATGTGAATGATATTGATCTAGTCTACAGCTTAAAAACTATCAAAGAGAATTTGAAAGTAATTGAAGAAGCTGCAAAGAAAATCTTTGTTAGAGCAGATATCAATCAAATTCAATTTAATATGAATAAAACTGAGTTAATTCATTTCTTTTCTAGACTCAATGAGAAAGAACTATCTCTAACTCTTTTAAATAGAGAGATTAAACCCAGTGTAAATGTCAAATAATTAGAAGTATAGTTAATGTAAGAAATCCCGCTCCTCGCGGATCCTTTACCTCTATTCCTATCTCTCACATAATCAATAGGGCTAGCGGCCCTTGGCTACACACAACTATATAGACTGGAGTTTGTGAATACTATTCACAACTCAGCTTGAATACTATTATACATTTAACTTCTACATTTTATCTTTCTACTGTGAATACTTCTAGTAGTTAATAGTACATATCATGTCAAGCTGTAAACATCTGAATAATCATCTGTGAGCACTTATTCTTACATTTCAAGCTCAGTCAGTCAGCAATTACCTGTTATGACTGAAAGAACTAGAAACTTGCATGCTTCAACCCCTGTGAACTCTACTGCAGACACTCAGAAGCAGTCACTCAAATCATGAATAACCTCTGTGAAAGAAGTCTCAGAGAACTTATCAATCACTCATAGAACATCATTCTCTGCATCTGTGACAGAGAAATTCTCTGAACTCATAAATAAATCAATCTCAGTGAAGAACATTCTTGAGCATCTTCTGTAAGATCAAGCTATTTTTCTATAAGAAATGCTTACTGTCTGTAAACACTCTTGAACTGAGTCTCTAGACATGATCTTCAGAGATATCTGTGAATTGAAAAGAAACTTTCTCAAGCTGTAATCACTTAAGATCATCTATTGAATCACAATCTATAAAAGCTTTTATAAGTTTGCATTTGAAATTGACTCACAAGCCTGACTGTGTGATATGAAAGATGAAGAAGCTGTTATCTATGCAATGACAGACCTCTATTACACTGAAGTCAAGAACTGGCTGAATTATCTAGAGAATGATCATGAGAGATTCTGATAATCTGTTCTCAAGATCTATCTAGAGAATAAGTTGAGAGACTTTGTAAGCTGAACAGAGAACACCTGAGCTGTGATTATCAATATTAGAAAAAGAGGTGAGGAATCTGATGAAGACTACTCACAGTGCTTTATGAAATTGTGATGTGAATTGAGACCTGTGAAAACAGGGCTCTGAAACAAGATCTGAATAATGATATTCATAAAGAGACTGAATAAAGATATGCAGAATAAGCTCATTGAGCAAGACTCTAAGCTCTTAACTCTGAAGAAACTGATAACTCTCATTCATTGCTTACAGATCACTGTGAGAGTCACAGACCTGCAGAGAGTGAATCATTGATCAGTCTTATAAGAATCAGAACAACAGAGAACAGGTTTGTCAGAAAAAGATGATAAGATACAGAGAGATTCATGTCTGACTGTTGAGCAGAAAGAGAGAGCTTTATAAGCTTCTGTAAACAGAGTGTATAACAGAGAGATCAAGAAAAAGAGACTCTGCTTCATTTGTTCTAAATCAGAACATCTCTGTACAAACTGTTCAGACAAATCAAAATAGGAATTTGAAGAGTCACAGACAGAGTCAGTAACAGCCTTCTTAAGAGTCTTGAAGCTGACATCTGAATCTGTTGCTCTCTCAATGAAAATGCTTGCTTACAGAGAGAGACTGTGCTGCAGTGCTGCTGCTCTGCAAGCATAAGAAGTATTGATAAACTCAGAATCTCAGGTCACTGTGATGTCTCTAAAGCTTATGAAGTGAATGAGCTGAAAGATGAAGACTGAGAATCTGCTCTTGTAATAAGCAGAATATGAGAACTCAGATCTGAGAACTGAGAGACTTATAAGAGTTATCTTTGAATTGTAAGATCTCTCTGAAACCTGAAGAAGATTTACAGAAACTGTAATTATTGCAGACATCACAGATAACATGTATTTGAAACTTACATGACTTCAAAGACACAATTCATATATAGCTGTCTGTGAGTCAGGTTTATACTTCTGATCAGTGTTGACAGACTCACTTATAAAGATAGAAGCAGTTAATACTGCAGAGTTAATTAGAGAAGACAAGCTCATCTATGTGATAACTTTGTAAGTGTCTGAGAATCTCACAGTCATGAAAACTGAGTTTCAGATATCAGAGAAATACTGAGATCTCACAGAGATGTTCAGCTCAGCTAAGGCAGCTGAGCTTTCTTCTCACTGTGAGAAGAATCTGACAATAGATTTGATAGAAGAGCAGAAACTCTTCTGAGAATCAATCTATAAACTCTCTCATCACAAGACAGAGATCTTGCAGATCTATGTGAAGAAGAATCTGAAGAATGACTTTATCTGATCTTCATAGGTCTCTGCAGAAGTCTCTGTGATATTCATGAAGAAGAAGAATAAAGATCTCAGATTATGTGTAGACTACTATAATCTGAACTTCAAGATAACAAAGAGTTACTACTCTCTGTCTCTGATTGAGAATGTGATCAACTGTCTTATGAAAGCTGTTATATTCATACAACTGAATATGATCAATGTATATACATAGCTGCAAATATAATCTGAAAATGAATGAAAGACTGTCTTTAGAACTGCACTGAGATTATTTGAATATCTAGTAATATCTTTTGATCTGACTAATATCTCTGCAGCATTTCAGTCTTTTATTAATAAAATACTTTATGCATATCTGAATATCTTTGTAGTAATATATCTGAATGATATGATGATATACTTCATAAAGAAGAAAGAACACACTGAGTATGTGTGAAGTGTGTTGAAGACCTTAGATGAGACAGAACTGTATATTAAGCTTATAAAGTGCAACTTCAGTGTCTGTTGAATTAATTTCCTAGAATATGTAATCACTGCAGATGATATTCAGATGAAATCTTCATAAGTTGAGACTATTCTATCATGACTGAAGTCAACTAGTATTCATAAGATTCAGATCTTTCTAAGCTTTGTGAATTTCTATAAACAGTTTATCTTTGTATTCATGAGAATCTTCTTAGCTCTTACAGACATGCTGAAGAGTGAAAACAAGAAGAAGTCATTCTGCAAATGAAGAATGAAAAGATTGTTGAGAAGAAAGAACTGTGAGAACTTTCTTATCTCAGAAGCTTGTGAGGTCTTTGTAAGATTGAAACAGATATTCACAGATACAGTGATACTGTTTCACTTTGATCTCTTGCTCTTAATCAGATTGAAGATAGATGTCTTCTTCTTTGTGATTTCAGAAATAGTCTTGTAACTACAGTTAAATAAGAACTGAGTTTCAGTGATCTTTTTCTCACAGAAGATGTAATCTGCAGAGATCAACTATAACATTCATAATCAGAAGCTTCTTATAATAGTGAAATTCTTCTGTCACTGATGTCACTACTTTGAGAACCTTATAATAGTGATTACTGTTAGAACTGATTATGATAGCTTGCAATAGTTTACTTCAATCAAGAAACTCTTGTAACAGCAGGTTTGCTAAGCTCAGAGACTGAGTGAGTTCTGGTTCAAGATAGAACATATTAAAAGAACTAAGAACTCAGTGGATGAATTCTCTTACAGGTCAGACTATATTAAGAAGATCAGAGTGACAGACACAGAGAAACTAGAGAAGACAGAAAAGCTTCACAGAATGCTCAGACTGAGTGTTGTAAAGAGATTGACTGAAGAGTCTCTCAATTCTCTGTAAGAGAAGAGAGAGAAGAGAGAGAAGAAGTCTGTACAACTACTCTCTATAACACTGAGAGTCAACACTCTGAGAATCTCTGCAAGAATTCTTGAAGAGAGTATCTATAATCTGAAGAATTTGCAGGCTTTGAGAAGTGCTGTGAAAGACCTGATGTAAGAAGAAATAGAGTATAAGTCTTTGTAAGATCTTCTATTCAGATTGTCTGAACTGCAACTGAAGAATGAATATACTCAGTATATTTGAAAACTGCTTATAACAGGGATCAACCCTGCAGAAATAAAGAATTGAAGAGACTTAAATAATCTCTTGTAAAGAGAGAACTGAATTTATGTATCTGTGAATAAGTTTCTATATATAGAACTTATTAAAAGGCATTATAACTCTTCTCTAGTGAGTCATTTTATAGATACTAGAACTCATGAGTTGTTTATAAGAAAATACTTCTAACTGAAGATGTGAGAACTTGTGAAGAAGATAGTGAATTCTTATACTGTTCATCAGAATTCATGGGTAGTGCAGTTCAGATTATATAAAGAACTTACTCCTCTACTTATTCTGTAAGAATCTTGGAAACAGCTAGAAATAAATACTCTTGTGAGCCTCTCTGAAAGTAAGAACATGTATGATGCCTGCTTTGACAGTGTGCTAATGATAGTGAATTACTTTATCAAGATAGCACACTTTATACTCATCTGTAAGAACTTGAAGTCAAAGAATTTAACTCATATCTTTGTCTGTGATGTGATCTGATTATATGAGTTGTCTGTAAACATTGTCTCAGACAGAGAATTAATCTTTATAGAAGAGTTCTAGTCTGATCTGATGACTATACTGAAGATCTCATGAGATCTAAGTATGACTTTTTATTAACAGACAGATAAACAGATAGAATATCTGATAAGTATATTAAAACAGTATCTGCAGTGCTTTGTCAATTACAATCAGAATGACTGAGTGCATTGATTATCACTCACAGAGTTTGTATACAACAACTCAAAGCATGTCAGTATAGATAAAACTCTCTTTAAGATGCTCACTGAGACTTATCTGCAGATAATCTTGATAAATCTGTGAGAGTACACTATAGAGTGTGATGATATCTGTGAATGAACTGAGAGAATTCAGAAGATTCAGAAGAAAGCTCATGAATTCTTGAGAAAGACTCAAGAGTATCAGAAGAGATACTATGACTTTAAGCACATTATAAAGAGTGTCAAGAAAGATGATAGAGTCTGACTAAGTCTAGAAAACATTATCATGTGAAGATCTAGTAAGAAGCTGAATCTCTTGTGAATAGAGTCTTATAAGATTATGAAGAAAGTTAGCTTACAGTTCTATAAATTAGAACTGTTATCTGAGTTATAGATATATAATGTTTTTTATATCTCTTTACTCTGTGAATATAAGAAATTCTTAGAAGAGAATTCTGTGACTCATCACTCTGTCTGTAAAGCACTAGAGAGTGAAAGAGAATATCAGGTTAAAGAAATTATTAACTTAGAGAAGTGAGATTGTGAGCTCTGATTCAAGGTTCAGTGATAAGAGTATTCTGACAAGATGAATAAGTTCACTTAAGAATTATTCAGACAGATAAGATATCTGCAGAAGCTGAGACATGACTTTCATACTATGAATTCTGACAAGTCAGAATGATGTAATCTTTGCTAAGAACCTGATTATAATAAAGATATTAACACTGTTATTTATAAACTCTAGTCTATAAGATAATGAGTTTCTACTGAGATGAACAGTCTGTGATGTATGTAAGAAAAGAAGAAAATATATTCTCATTAAAGCTAAAAAATAAGAAAATAAACAGAACTGTGAATACAATTTAGAGATTAATAAAGAAAAAACAAAGAAAACTTACACTCATATTATTAATATCTGTAACACTCAATTCTCTCACAACTATCAATTTCTCTCTTCAAAGAAGGAGAGAGTATTATATCTGTGATACAGACAATTGTTACATTTGATGTGAAGGCTGTTAGAAATGTATAGACTTCAGAGAAGCTGAACATCAGAGTGCATGCAGTTGTAACAGAACCTTGAAGACTGATTATCTGTGTGTGTGATCAGATACTTCTCACAAAGCTGTGTTCACTCTCTCAGTTATGCTGAAGTATTCAGCTCAGAAACAATGAGAATATGAAGAGAGAGCTCATCTATTCAGATTAACTTCTGTTGTAAATTCATGGCATTTGCATTGTCTTGATTACCCAGATTTTGCAGGTACTCAGAAACTCATCTCTCATTGATAATGAGATTGTAGAAATGCGCTGCAGCATGAGAATCATTGATAGAGAATCTAGACATATTCATATATGCCTGATCAGAGATTGTGCAGGCAGAGAAGAGATAATTGTAGACCTGTGAGACTGTAGAAGACACTGACAACACTGAGAGCTTTGCAAGAACTGTTAGCTAGAGTCTGTAAGAAATTACTTATGAGAAGACTTACAGCAAAGAAGAGAACTGCACTGCTTAGAGTCAGAGACTGGTCTGAGAAAGACAGAGAATTGACTGCTGACCTGAAGATTGAGTGTGATGATGAGGCTGAGGGAGATGAAGATACAGTCATAGATAATAGTGTCCCTGCTTCATCAGCTGATAAAAAGCAATCAGAGAAGTCATGAGAACACTTATAAGAAGCTCAGTGATGATCAGACATTGTTTGTAAAGAGATTGAAATTGAAAAAATTTTTATTCTTGAGAAGTTCTTGAATCAATATATGAATATTGTCAGAAACACTCTCTCTCTGTCATCTGAGTGAAAATACTTTGTGAATGAATAAGAATACTCACAGTTTATGAGAATGAGAGCTGTTATAGAAAAAGAAAAAAGAAGATGAGATTCTGTGAACAGATCTGAGATATTTATACTACTCTAGAGAGATTTACTTACACTGTGAGTGATTCTGTGAAACAGTCAGATCACTCTAGTAAATAAGAGTGATTATGAATCACAGGCCTGAATCTTTCTATATAACTATAAAGAGTGATTGCAGACTGCAGATATCTTGATTCTACAATTCTACAGAGTTAATGAAAGAATAGAAAATTCCTCACAATTCTACAGTGTTAAAGAGCAATGATTTATAAGAATGAATGAAAGATTAACTCATAAATATTTCTCTTTAATGAGAATGATCTCACAGAGAGTGATTCATCTATGAGATGAATCTATATGATGATTACACAAGAATCTTGTGAAAATAATTGAGAGTCAACTGAAACTCTTCTGTATGAAAGATGTGAGATGAATCTGTGTGATAGTCAGAGAAGAATCTGTAGATTACAAAGAATCTCACAGAATAAGAAACTGAGTGACAGACTCTTTTCTCTTCATAATAACAAGAGATTTTTCCTCACTGAGATTTTTTATAGATGTGAAGAGTTTTTAGTGAGTATCACTGCAGTGCTGAGCTGACTATGAAGTCACTCAGTGAAAGACTTTGCAGATGAAGTCTTAGAGAGAAGAGAGTATGTAAGAAATCCTGCTTCTTATGAATTCTTTACCTCTATTTCTATCTCTTGTGTAATCAATAGGGCTAGCAGCCCTTGGCTACACACAACTATATAGACTGGAGTTTGCAAATACTATTTACAACTCAGCTTGAATGCTATTATACATTTGATCTCTACATTTTATCTTTCTACCATGAACACTTCTAGTAGTTAACAGTACATATCACGCCAAGCTGCAAACACCCGAATAATCGCCTGCGAGCACTTATTCTTACAGTTAAACTCCAAGTTGAACTTTAAATATCACATTCAACAAAGAACTGTCAAGACAGAAAGACTATTGAACAACATAATCAGACTATTAAATACAGAGAGAGGTCTATTCTTTCAGGCTATGAGACAGTTATATATAGCCTGTATTACATCAGTAGCTGATTATGAAGTTCAAGTTTGATGGAATAATTAGACTGGCCGCCGGGACCATGAATTTCACATTTGATTCCATTTGGTCTGATCTCATATATTTCTTGGCGTGAGTCCCACCAGGACCAAGCCTCAAAAAAATCTGAAAATGGACCATTTCTGAGAGAAATGGCATGAAAAATGACCAGATTTAATTCAAGAACAGTGAAATGAGAGTAATTTTCCAGAATAAACTGTGAAAGATGATCATTCTTTCAAAATCAGAATGAGACTGAGACTGAAGATCAAAATCAGTCTCATTCAGTTCATTCAGTGATTGCTTATATAATCAGAATTTGATAATGATTATTGATAACACTTATGAAATAACTAAATACATTCTTGTGCAAGTTTATTCTTCACTTTCTCATGAAAACTACACTTCTCTGATATACTGTGATCAGAGGTATTAAACTGTCTGATAATTCCATGTTTTACAATCATGAGTTTCTTGATTGTTTCTCCTTGTAATTGTTCTCAGTGATAGTGACAAATATCTTGACTTGAGTTGAACTTTCACTTTATTCCCACCTCTGTCAATGAAATTGCTAGAATATCACACATCATCAGTGCAACAGTTGAATATATACTCTCAACAATTTTTCATAACTCTAGAATTGATTTAGTGTGTAAATTCATTGAATCATCTTGAAGATAGTGATCAAATTCAGTTTTACAAGTATGTAGTTTTGCCTGATTTTCAGTTGCAATCAATGTATGCAAGTCCTGTTTCAAAGTTAGTATTATAGTTCTATGTGATATGAAGTGTTATCAAAGATCATTACTTACTAGAGAATTGTATTTCACTGTCTTCACATCTCAAACATCTGCTTGTTCAAATCTCTGATAGTTGACATTGTAGTAGTCTCAGGTTAATTTAACATATGAGTCTCATTTCTCCTCTGTTCAATCTTGAGAAGTGTAGATGTTAACTTGATGAGAGAGATCTAGTAGAGCTGCTACAGCATAGTACTCTGCAAAAGATTGTTCTATTTTGCTGTAGTAATATATCAGTTTATTCCTTACAGTAATAATAGCCTGCACTATAGCATCATTCCAGACTGAATTTCTTTTTAAGTGATTCAACTGCTTCTCAAGATAAGTAAATAAACTGTTATACACTCAGCAGACTGACTGCAGCATTGGTGTACAAGTGATTGAGACTGCCTTTATTGTCTTATAAAACTGAAACAGTAAATCAATCACATATTTCAACTGAGTTCACTTCATATCAGAAAGTTTCAATATCTGAATCTTTTCTCAATCAGAGTGTTGCACTCAATGATCAATCATCTGACACAATCAAAGAGTCTGAACAGTCATCTTATATATTGAACTTCACTGTGTTCTAACATTCTGTATCATATTCAGTAGTGTGACTGATTTGTTTGTTTATTGAATATCATGGAATTGTTGTTGTTGTTTAGAAGAGGTACAAATCACATTAGCAATGTTTCAAATCTATGATATTTAAATTATTAGTCAATCTATTCAAAATTAACAGTAGCATTATCAAAAAGCATTATCAAAAAGCAATATCAAAAAGTGTTATCAAAAAACATTATCTTTTGCAAAGTGAATGCAAAAGTTACTTGAGTAATCACTTTCATCTCATTCTCATCTCAAGAATCAGCCATCTCATTATTCTTCATCTCAATGTTAAGATTCTTTACCAGTGTTTGCATCACAAGTTGAATCACATGAGCAATGCAGAGAATATGACCTTGTTTATCATTTCAGAAATGCAAAGCCAATTTTTGCTTCAAGCTCTTCATCATAGTGTAGTTATTCACAGTATTATCAGTTGTAATTGTAAGAAGACTGAGACTAATATCTCAATAGTTATTTTTAATCACAGTCATTAATATCTCTGTCATATAATTCCCAGTATGACTACTGATCAATCATTCAAATTCAATTAATGTCTCTTAATAAGTTCAGTTCTCATCAATGTAATAACATATAACTTCCATAAATGCAAGATTGTTTGTACTAGTTCATGCATTCACTGTGAGAGACACTCTTCAATGATTCTTCAACTCTGATTCTAGATGTTGCATATTGACTTTGTAGTATATCTCAAGGTTGAACTGAAGACAGAATCAATGTGAAATATGAAGATTTGAATTAAGTATTTGAACAAGTGTTCAGAATTCAGAGTTTTCAATTGATTGAAGAGAAAGATTCAGAGATATACATATGCAAAGTAATTGTTCACAGAAGTTATCAGATGAGAGTTATGAAATCAGAGTACTGATACAGAGTCATTTTCACATGATTTTCTTCAAATTAGAAAGTTAGTGTTACTAAAAATCATTATCTGATAGAGCAACTTATCAGCTCAGTAGTAATTTTCTGATTATTTTTCTTTTATTATCTGCATTCTGATGACTTCAGATATCAGGAAATTCCTTCAGAGTCATGATTAGTTTATGATGAATGTTTCTGAATAAAGTTGCAGTGATTGTAGCAGAGAGATGACTCTTCAGTAATCTACAATACAACCTGTTAATAATTATTCCATAGTTCATCTCAATGTTTGTGTTGAGTTTTTCATAAATTTCATGACCTGGAATCAGATATGAAGAATGAAGTGATCATTTATCATGATTGAAAGAGAGTATTCTATGTTGAATTGTAAATAACATAGACTTTGTGATTCACAGTGATTTCTTGAAGAGTTTGTGAATCTTCAATAGAAGTAAAAGAAGTGAATTCAGAAGATATGATAATAATTTGAGAAAGATAATAATTTATTTTCAATAACTGATCACTGATGTGTGTAAGAAGAATTAATATAAGAGAAAATAATCTTGTTTCTTAGCTTAGTTATAATTTTAGTACTAACTCAGATTGAATATTATCAATATATAAAAGTAAACAAACAATCTTGATTAATCTCTGTTATATTTCTTGAAATATATTAATATTGTGAAAGAGAGTGTTACTAAATTGCATTATCAGATAATATCATTAAAAATATATTAATATTGTGAATATCAATGTTGAAAAAATGTTGATACTTATACATTATAGTGATTTGTGAATCATGATAGTTAAATATATATATATATATATATATTGTTCCTGACTTGATTACAACTTGTACAATAATTTTTAAAAACTCAAAATTAATTTCAATTATTAATAATTATGAACTTACAACTAAACTAACTAATATAAAAAGAAAAAAACTTTTTCTACTCATTATCTTTCTTCTCTTTCTCATTCTTCTTATCATTCTTCATAATTCACTTCTCATTCTTCTTCTTCTTCTCCTTCTCCTCATCTGAGATGATAATCACCTCAAAATCTCTCTTCACTGCCTTCTCAGAGAAGGGTTTCCACTGCTCCCCTTCAGCCAGGTCAACCTGTACCTCAAAATCCCACATTTCCTGGTCTGCTGTCTCAGGTTTCACTTCAGTAGTAAGCAGATTGACATGCTCAGAGAGCAGAGCTGTCTTCTCAATGTTCTGAATCATGGAGTGCATTTGAGACCTGAACAAGGCCTTAATCCTCTCCTTCTCTGCCAGCTCCTGCTAATCAATTAAAGAACAGAAGTATTATCAAAAATCATTATCTCTCAATAAATAAAAAACTTATCAGTTTTGACTTCTTTATCTCCTGCTTCAACATCTTCTCAATCTTCTTCTACTGTTGCTTATTTACAGTAACACTCTTCTTCTCTCTTTCTCTCTTTATCTTG